TCGGATACTTAACGAAAAAGCTCGGTTAAATAAAACCCGCGGTGGCGACGACGACTATAACGGCGCTCCATTTTGCTGTTCTCGTTCCTTCCTTCGTTCCTATTCCTTTCTTCTTTCCTTCCACACGTCCGCCTGCCATCGTCGCCGTTAAAGGGTGCACTCGACGACGAACGTTCCACCCGGTAAAACCACGAAACGTATTTAACGCGCGCGGGTCTCGGCCGTCGAGAAGACAATTATAATATTAAATATGTGCATACGACGCGCTACCTGGCCTACTGTACTGCTGTATGTACGAGTAACCTTCACCACCGCCACCTTCATTGATGGGAATTATTAACACAGCCACTGCTATATACAGTATATTATTATATATTTAGGTACGTTGCAGTGTTTTCCGAGAGGACCGACTCTCGGGTAACCGGGCCCTTACACAACAGCCGCTTCCGCCGCCACTTGATCTCCCTCGCCGCAGCCCCGTAATTATACACTGCAATAACATTATTGCAGGACCATAATATGTACACATAATGTAGTCACATATTATATTCACTATTATATCGTACATATGAGGCGTTTAAAATGTTGATAATATGCTGATACCGTTATAATCCGTATTAGTTGTATCCACTTTTTTTAACACGGTTTATTATTGAATAAGCCAGGAAGTCGGGCATGTCAATCGTGCTGCTCTCGAACATTTTTGGTGGTAACCGTAATCATTGAAAAATTAAGTAAAAACGAATAACAAACCAAATTTGAAAATACAATTTAAATTTTGTGTGATGGGAATGATGGGAATTAAGTATTTAGATATATTTGGCACCTATGCATATATTTTTATATAAGAATTTCCCAGACTGCCATAAAATCTACCTATATCTAAATTTATTTAAGCACTAGATCATCGTTGCCTGAATCAGAATTTTTTTTTTGGTTATTTTTAGGGAGATGGAAAGATGGCTTCGTTTTTTTTAAAATTTAAATCTTGAAGTGGCATGTTGCTTAAATGGTAAGCCTATAATAGCTTAAATATATTTAGTAATTATGTAAACATATTTATGATTAAATTCTGTAAAATAAATTACTTATAGATGTTGTAGAGAGAGTGCGGGTGATTTAGAATAATATCGTTGGTGTGGATTATTTATGGTTTTCTTACAGTCTAATGTCGATAGTGTCATTGATACTGTTAGAAGTTAGTTGTTATGTATACTTTATAATTTTGTTCTAGTTACTATGCTCATAAAGAATTTTTCATTTCACACAGTGCCAGTATCACGAAATATTTTCACATCCAGGTACTGTTAAGAAGACGAAAAGACAGCGAAAACACAGATCACACGACGTGGAAAGTTAAAAACTACTCGTATATCAATATCATCTATAAAAACAATACACAATTGATGCTTATTTCAACCATAATATATTATGTGCCTACTGTCCTGTGGCCGTGCAGTGAGTGTGTTCTGCCTATTTCGCTGCCTACAGCCATATTAGTAACTTATTTATTGTTATTACTTATTATCATGGATTTAATGATTAAACAACCGTTTTTCGTGTAAAATATATTAATAGTAGGACAGTGATAATTTAACATGATAAAATATTACATATTTCATACTTGAGGGTCAGTCGACTGTCCCGTGATAAACTTATAGCCCAGTTTATTTTAAAGTAAAGAACTTCCAGCTTCGATCTTTTAAATCTATCTTTATACCCCTCCCCCATTTCATCACTTAGTACTCTCCTTAAGCCTCAACCGATTGGTTAATAAGATGACAAACATTGCCAACGAGGACCCGTCCTTTATATTTTATTATTATGGTACACACTATTAACTTGTTTCGAAAAATGTGTATTTATATAATATTCAATATCCGTTTAGTGTATAAATTATCGGTACTTTGGATCGCGGCCCATTCTGAATTAATTAGGTAAATAATTATAAATATTTTACCAATGGCTTTCAACGTTAAGTGGATGTCAGCACACTGTTAAGTGTTAATTGTTTTCTCTCTCTGCCTGCAACACAACGTCAATTTCACGTTCAGCTGAGAACGTTCTCGCGTTGTTAGCTTTAATATTAGAGTGAATTAACCTATTATCAAATTTAAAGTAGTTAAAATTATTTGTGTTTGCACTCATTGGATTTTTTTACAATATTGCAATCTCTTACAATATACTATGTGTTTTATTGAATTGTGCTATTATAAATACCTACCCATAATTTGCATACAAATTAAAATATAATAAAATGGCCACCAACATAGATAATGTCCCTGAATCTTAGGTTTGATGATGGGTCAGTTATCTAGAGTTAGTGTAGGTTCTGATGAACGCAAATTTGGTGTGTCGTGTGCGGCTGAGAGAAATAAATATTTATTTATTGACGTTCTAAATCGATTTTTGATTACCTAGAAATTTTTTAAAATTTAGATCGACTTGATTATACATATTGCAATATCGCAGTATTATTTATGATTTTGCTTACTTTGACAAAAATAAAACGATGATCACACGGCGTTCTGGATAGGCTATTTAGCTACACCACTGTTGTATGATGCATCATGTTCATATAGTAATGAAGCGTACCTTGTATTATGAAATGCTTCATGTATCCTACAGGGATGATATTTATTTTTTGAGACAATACTTCACTAATAAAATAAAACCAAAAATAAATTTCATTGTAAATTCACAATGTAACGTGTTTAGAAAAAGTATAACATACTACAAGCTAACTACCTAAGGACGGGTTTTCAACAAAATATATCTAAATGCGCGATTGTACACCGATAATATTGTAGTTATGCATATTATTGTTTTAACTCATAATTTTTTTTTGGACTAGAGTCAAGTGAATTTAATTTTTACATTTTCTTCAAATCTATATAATAATTATCATCTATGCCTACAAGGAAAAATAAGTGTGTATGTGGTGAGGAAAAAATTACATAGGTACATACATATTTATTTATAAACACGTTATAGTGAATACTGAATAGTATTAAATACAATATGTACATGAAATGATGGATGTCATCCATCAATAGCACTTATGAAAAAGTTAGGTTTTAATTTTAATTATTAAAATATAAATTAAAATAGTTAAGTACATTTACGAATGACGATATACTTTTCTTCGAGTCCATCTTTTTTGTGTTTCATATAACAATAACAGCATTTAAAAAAGTATACATAATGAAACATTTTAATATTAAGTTTATGGCCACAGGGCGTCTACGATGACAAGATATCGCCGCAAGGCAGAAGGCTTCTTTGATGGGTTACGTAGAGACCATATAAATCCGTGCACGAATATAGAATATTATGCACGATCCGAGAGCGTGAACATTTTTTGATTGGCTTCATTGGTCCAGTTACAGCTGGTCATAATCGCTGAATAATAAATTCTAATTTTTAAAATACCTCTATAATTTTGAATTTAAAAATAGATTCGGTTATTTAAAAAGTTTTTTTTATTATTAATTGGAAACTAGTGTTTTTAAATTTTTTGTCAAAGTACCAAAGCTATAAACATTTTGAGGGAAAAATATGTTGGTTTTTCAAAAAGTAATGACTGAACTATGAGAACTCAAAACACAAAGTTGTAAAAATATTGTCGTATTTACCAACCGACTAAATATCAGAAGTGCTTTAAATAATTTGTATGTTTATTTGGAATCCGTATTGAAATAAATTATTATCGTTATCGCGGGCTCAGGGTAGGTACGCTGTACACACTGCAGCAATTACTGCATACACCCAGCAGCAACCCCTCGGCGGGCGCGACGTAGATAACAACGATAATAGTAGTAATAATAATATGTATATTATACGGTCGTGTAGTTTGACTAACAGTCTTTTTGCACGGACTGCCGCCGCGGAATAATATTGTTGACATTAATCTCACGGATTATCCGCGCCGGGCGTGTGTGCCCCGTTCATTTTTCACCCCATTCGTTTTGCGGCCGCCCGGGGCGGGTGGAAAATAAAAAAAACACACACGCACATAATATGTACATAAACCCTCGTCGCACACACGCGAAATTGAACGCTAATGGCATATTAAACTATAGCCGTGCAGTTGTAGTACCGCGACGACGGGGAATAATAAATATAACGGATTAACAGATAGCTATAGCGCTAGAGGGGGAAAAACCTTATTGTACAGTATATACTTTATATATATATATATATATATATATTATGTGCCTACATTCAGCGCGGCAAACAATTACGAAAAAAGGGGTGGCTCGACCCAGTGTATATGTACGGTTTGAGGCGTGTACACGCACACCGGCTGCACCCTCCCTCGTCTAATTATTATTATTACACAACGCGACGCTCCCCATGTATACACCTAACTTCAATACCCATTTATATTCTACATTCTACACTACTATATTTAATATATACACTACCACTGCATATACGAGCCACCGTCGTGCCTTTTGTAAAACGATAATGGCTTGGGTAGATGTGAAAAAAACAATACCACCGTCACTTCTTCAACCCTCTCGCTAGCAACACTGTTGTTATTATTGAGATGTCGCTATTGAGTATCCCTCCTCCATACCTGTCCCACCACTCGTCCTGCTCATCCGCACGACGGATATTCGTCCTATTAATTTTGCTTGCTCATCTCCGGTAGCGTCACAAATCGGATCGCTCGTGCTCACCAAAACCGCACCAATGTAGTGTTGCCATAGCTGCGATCCAGAGTCTGACGCGTATAATACTAATACACAGTACACCACCACTACAACTACGGCTGGTAACATCGTACACCGCCGCGGAGAGTACTTAACTTCCGGTCGGTAAACACTTTTCAAAAATCGTTTGCCTCCGGATAAACAAAAGGAACATTGGATAAACAACGAGTGCTGCTGTGCCACACCCCCAAAAAAAGAAAAACGACGTTATAATAATCGCCGCTTTTTGCATGTAAGTGTTCAGGTGGGTAAATAATGAAAAAGACAAACAAGCCGAGATTCTACATGCATTATTATATCTATATTTAATTGTTTGAAAATAAGAACTATAAAATGAAAACAAAAACCTTATAGAAAGAAATGTGAATAAAACAATATTTGTGGGGGCATTGTATAGAGTTAAACAACATAAAATTGATAACATTCGAATGTATTAGTTATAAAATAAGGACATTTATAAAATAAAAAACTAAAGGTATACTGACGCGATTACTAATACACATAAGTACGACAAGGGCAGATGGGCAATGTCGTGTGATGAATAGTTGTTAAATGGTCGTCGTCAATCAGGTTAACAACATTTCATACCTTGATATCCTCTTTATATAATAATATTGTATGCAAGTATACAACACAATAATAACAATATTAATAATAATAATAAAAGTAAAACATTTTTCTCCTTTTCGGATTTAACCTTGATTTATATATTATATTCGTAACGGATGTAAAAAATATGTCAATCGAGGTCTTCAATTTTCCCGAAAATTAAATCTGGTCCACGTGTTCAAAACAGCGCCGAGTGATTAACAATCAAATTCTCGTCATTGTATACATTGATGCACCATTGCATGAACAATAAAAATATCAATACTTAAAACCAAAACCATGTTTCATCCTTTGTTTTTCACTGGTTTTAATTGAAATTGGAATGTCTTTATGTGTTCAATATTGATTTCTAAAAATAATATTTAGTCTTAAACACATTAACATCATAAAATGTACCTAACATTTAAAAGTAATAAATAAATTATAAACAAAACAATTACTCACTGACTGACTTAGCCATTTCCATAAGCTCTGATGATTCCATTAGGTCGTCTGACCCCGTAATTAACGTAACAAGTCCTGTGTTCTCACCATATTCCTCTGTAAAATAGTTGCAACATTCCAAAATATGTTTGAAATTACTGTATACATAACAAAAAACACCATGAATACATTGATAGAAATTTTGAAGTAATTAAAGTAATTATTGCTTGCCAAATTTCTTTGCTCAATTTCGGTGGACCGTCCAGTTTAATTGGTAGTGATTCATGTATTCCTTGGGATTTTAAGTTGCAGTTTCCCTCTTGCAACTGAAATTCTAACCAACGTATAGTCAGCCTGACTTCTTTGCTTAGTTTTTTTTGCTCGTCTAATGCCGATATAACTGAAACAAAAATAGTAATGATAAATAAATAACAATTGTATTAGGGAACAATGATATCTATCAATGTATTAGGTACATACCGATTGCGGGTACTACTACAATAAACTTGCTGCTGTTAACGAGTTTCTTGATTATCAACGAATAATTAATCAACGCATCTGTATCGATGACGATGCACGTGGGTAATGACTTTTTTCTCGAAGAGTATTTCATCTTGTACTCTAGATTGTCCACTTCCGACCGGAGCCACAGTTGACCCATCACGTGTTGTTTGTCTCGTTTCGAATCTTTTAATGATTTTTCGTCGGTCTATAAGAAAAACACGAAAATAAAATATAATATAAATAGGTAAAAGTACACGAGCGGTACGATGATAAAATGAAAATGTCTTATGACGACGACGACGTTCGGTTTATTTGTTTTCAACGGTTATAACGTTCTAGAATTGCACTGAAATTACGATTCCCTCTGCCCCTCTACTACTACTACTACTACTACTACTACTACTACTACTACTATTACAGCAGAGTGAAGACGATAAAACCGTCGTCTGCGATTCGAGTCCATGTTCATTCTAGTTTCCGTTTTGTCGACCGTATTTAATACGTCTGGAATCTTTTATCGTCCCTCGAATATAGTCATAAAACCGGCAGACCGTACGACGATAATGGAATACGGTTAAACGCTCGGCAAAAGGGCTCCCTTACGACCCCTAACCTCAAAGCTTTACGGTTATAAATTTCCCCGACCTCCGTCCCATCGCCCGGTCGGCCAACGGTGACACGCCCGCACAACGCCGGGGCTTTTGCTCGCTTCTCTCTTCCGCTTCCCAAAGCTATTACTGTACTAAATGGGAAAAGGAGACGGGATTCTTGTGATTCTTTCATCCCCCAAGGCCGAAGCAGGGGTACATTTTATTTCATTGAAATTTAACTCTCAAAGAATAAACAAAAACAGTATATACTTGTTTATGTGTTATGTCCTGCCTTAGACTTACTAAACGTTTTCATTAAGGTGTTGACGTTTGCACACTTTGAAATGTCATTTGATATTTTATTGTTTTTGGAAGTGATTTATTTTTGATACAAAATATTGTTGAACGTATTTGTTCTTTTTTTATATTGAGTAATATACGAGTATATAGTTTATACAGTTTTCGATTTTTTTTTTCATAACAATTGTTGTGAGTATCTATATGTGCTGTTTTGTAATATAATTTAATATTTTTAAATTATAATACTCAAGGCTGTTAACCTATTTTTTTTTTTTTGGTACATTACAAACAGTGAGTATGACATTTAATATATTCACTATTATAATATTAAATGATACATGAACGTATTTCACTCACTAATTAGTTTTTTACAGGATACTCGAGGAAAATAATTATTGATGACATGTACCATTCTATTTAATATTAACTGAAAACATGGTAATTTATTTAACCAGCAGGTCTTATAATCAATGACGTGTATTTTAAAACTATATTTAAACCGTAAAACCAAAAGTACCGTAAGTACCATAATAAATTGGTCAATTGGCTGGCGATAGTCGTATAGTGTGTTACTGGTCAATATAAGTTTAGGTCTTAAACGCGAGCTCTTACAATTAATTTTCATTGTGAAAGTGAATGCGAGGGGAGAGGGTATAAAAGAGCAGAAGTTCCAATAAAGAAAAGATTTAACAACCCTGCCGCAGTCGTTTGTGTGCGAGACATTGTTAATAAGAGTTTTAGAGGACGCAATAAATAAACCCATAAAACGCGTAAGGAGCGTAATATTGGGGCTCCGCATGCCAACTATTACAGTTATGCCTCCCCCTCCATACAAGGGGCGGGTTGACGGTCATAAAAACTTTGACGGTTCTGGCGAGGGTGACATATCCCCCCCGGATCACTTTGTAGCTGCAAAGCTCGTAAAGGAAAGAAAGAGAGAAAAGGGAAACCGAGGAGAAAGAAGAAAGTATAAGATATAATATAAACCCGACTACGCCGTTGGAATCGTTATTGGCGAGATCCGCTTTCAACATCTTCAAACTGCTTTATTGTGTTGCAACAGCTAGGGGTGGATTTTACTCAATATATATTATATACCCTGTGAAAAGGGCAGGTTTTCTTTCTTGTTTTTTTCTTTATATATTTTTTTTTTAGTTTTTATCTTCTATACAGTCTCATGAATATTTACAAGACAGACTTTGCTATTCCAATCTCGCGCTTTCGTTTGTCACAGTAAATGTCGTATTTTTTAGAGGGCAGAAAACGAAAAAAAAAACGAAAAACCCTTTGCTACTTTCATAAACTCTACTGAAAGACTGGTAGACACATTTTTTTTTTTTAATCTGGGATATAGGTGCTCAACTACTCTGTTACATTTACATAGTTGATTTACTTATAAGCCAACACTTTTAAGACCAATATATTATCGTGTTGATTAATTCAATGGTTACATTATTTTGTTAAGAATAGATTTCTGTCTAGTCTATGATTTGATTAAATGTCAAAAAAGATTTTATGTTAGTAAAATAGTATAGTGAAAACTTGCAGACTTTTCTTTTTGTAACAAACTAAAAACTGAACCCTCTGAACAGCGAACACCTCCGAGTATCGGACACAATTTTAGTAATCGAGAGTACCCGATATTTAGTGGTTTCAAAGGGAACAATCAATTAATAAAAGTCAAAGATAATAACATTTAAGCATAATATAAAATTCTTAATATATCTATTACGGAAAAAATACTTAAATTAATTAAAACCAATATTAAAAACAAAAATTGTTTAATACAAATTTAATAATAAAAATGTGGGGAATGGGTACCACAATGCCTTATAGTAGGTGTCAGAGATTCTAATGGATAATGTATTAGTTTTGAATTCAATGATATATCATTGTTTATGATTTTATGAATAACGATTCTGATCGGAGACCGCACATCAGCTGATATTACTAGATACTTTAGTTTCTGAGCGGAGCGATGAATTTTTTTTTTTGTGTCTTTCATCACGGTTTGGGGCAGTGAAAGTGCTTTTCAGCAGCAACATTTCTGGTAGGAAAGCGAATAAAGTAGGTGCAAAATTTAAAATCATAATGGTTTCAAAAGCGACAGGAAAAACGGTAATTTATACACAAAACCAGCTTCGAATAAATCGATTTTGGTTTTCAGTGTAACTCTAAAAGAAATGACCATAGATACAATACGTTTTCAATGAATGTTTGTGTTAGCATTTTCTATACAACCATACAATTTCCAAAATATTTTGATTCATGTTGAACTACTTATAGGTATATGAAATTTTCGATTGTTATTTTTTTTTTTGAGTAATGTCTATAAAAAAAATGTTAATTCGGTCAAAAAACTTGAAAATATAATACAAGGTTTCTCATCAGTTATTGTTTGTGGAAATTAAAAAAAAAACGAGCGTAAATCCTTTTAATGAGCGACTGAATTTCAAATTTCGACAAAATACGTAAAAATCAAGAACATATATATTTAACTAAGTAAAAATTTCATAAATTTATTAGTGTAATTAACAGTTCAATAGTCTAATAATTTTGGAAGGCTTTTATTGTCTGAGTAGTATGCAGATGAATTACTTGTATATTAAAAAAAATATATTGATACTTACTTGTTTCAAAGAGCCACATAATGAAAACCATTTTTTGATTTTGTCATAAGTGAATAATACATTGTTGGATGCTATTTCTTCTGCACAATGTAATATATGTATTAATCGAACTGTTCCCTATAATAAAAGTGAATGATGATTATTGTTAATAAATGAAGATCTATCTAACACTTAAAATACACTAAGTGTTTACGAAATCGATTGGTTTTGCAATAGTAAGTCTTTAAAAAAGTATGATAAATTAATTTTTTCGAACCAAGTAATTACATTTAATTTATTGTAAGACTTTAAAAATAATAATTGACTAACTAACTAGTTTTGAATGATTCATAGCTATTTGGTAAAATTAACAGTTATCATAGCTAAATAAATAATGTTAACTTAAATGAATGCCAGTAAAGTTAGATTTCTAATAATTAGATATATAATATGAAACTGTACAAAAGAATATCATGGGCATTTGATATTCCAATATTTTATCTAAACATATTAAACAGATCTAGGACATCATAATATTGATGTGTAAGACAGAGTAAACTAAATAACACTCATAAAAAGGCCCCTACTGCTTCAGTTAGTTTTTTTTATAATATATTGTCAGGCCCTAATAAGTATTTAACTGGTTAAACAGTGTTCCACATAAACTGCACATAAAAAATTAAAGTGTCTCTTGATGCATAAAGTATGAAAGGAATGTACAAATTCATATTAGATAATATATATTTAATAATGCTAGATAAAAAAATTGCCTACCTCATTTTTAGTACAGATATTGCGATCATATTCTCCACAATGCTTTTTAGACTTAGAAAAAACAGTCATACCACGTAAATGCACATCTTCTGGTAACATAAACTGATTGGTGTCAATGTCTAAGAATGTGTCTTCAATATTAGCTTGCGACAAGTAATTTAAAAGTGTAACAGTATTGTTAAAGAATTCAACTGAAGATTCAGGATTTATAGAATCAATTTTTGGTTGAATCCAATCAAAATATATCTAAAATGTAGTGAACGGTTATAAGCATTGATACTATAAAAACTGATAAAAAAATGAAACATTTTTTTTTTTTTATATATTATTACCTTTATGGTTTCAATATATGGTATGTTTGATAACGGAAGTTTTGGATTATTTTTATTTTCACAACCAAAAGATGATGTACCACTATCATTGGACCCATCAGATTCTGTAATAAAATTAACAACACATTAATTATTTAGATACGTAGTAACAGCTAGTAAGGAATTTTTATTACAAACCATTTTTTGATTTGTCATCATTGGGCCTTTTAATATCAAATATTAACATCTCTTCTTCACTTTCATCATCTGATTCGTCATCAGGACTTATTACACTTTCTGCTTCATCTAAAAAACATTTAGTTTTAGTTTTAGTTCAAAAATATTAATACAAATTCAAATGATCATCATTTACTAACATATTTTCTTATAATCATATTTATAACTGCTGAATATAATAAATAGAAATTAAGTATTATTTATTAAATACTAACCTCCAGTCCATTCTTGGGAATCCGGAGAAGAATGCTGTCTAAAACCACGTCTACGACGTCGGCGATTTAATTTTACATGATCTATATTAGGATTAACTAACAACGGCAAGTTTTTTACACAGTAAGTTACACTTTGACCAATTAAGTGTTCCATCAATGATAAAAAGAATAACTCAGCTTTTGGGATGTATTTAGACTCTGGAAATTCATATTATTAATTAGACATTTTTAAGAATGTTTAAGGGCTTTAATAATGAAAAACCCTAGTGCAATGTCAAACTTATGTTAACTTAGAAAATATTTATAAACAACGTAAATATTTGCACAAGGAAAAAATTGAATATGCCATTTTTTACTAATTATAATAGAAACATAATATGTAACTAATGGTTATCTTATACAATTTAGGTCACCCTAAATCCTTAAATTATGTATCAATTAAAATTGTGATTTTTTGAACTTTTAAATATACTTAAAGACCATGTTATCAAATACTTGAGATTTTTTGTACTGCAAAAGGATGATCATGTAACAATACAAACTTCTGTTTTTCCAATAGGAACCCCCTTTTTTCACTTTTAATTATTCAGCAGGCATTTTTTAGAGAATTTTGATGTATCTAAATCAAAATTTGAGTTGTTATTGAGTTATATAACATTGTGTACTAATGACAATATATTTATCGTAATGGGCTAACTAGGTATGGGGATCAGATAATTTTAAAATGTTAGTAATTAATATTGATTTATCAACATCAATAATTTATTAATTTAATTTGTAAAAAAAAATCCAAGTATAATAAATACTATATCCAATATTATACAATAGTTAATATATTTTTGTAAGACAATTTAAAGGATTATTAGTGTCCTTAGTATAATCATTATAATAACTCAGAAACTACTCATTAGAATTTTGATTTATCTAAATAAAAATCGTAAAGAAAATCATATGCTAAACAATTTGAAGTTAAAAGGGGGATTTTTATTTTTAAATAAGTTTGTATCACCACAGGACTCTTGAGTAGAAAAAAAAATATCAGAGAATATGGAATTTAGGAATACTTAAAATTCTAAAAATTAAATAAATATACTATGAACACATTGACTTCTATGTGACCCAGTGATCGTCTGCAATTCTCAAATTTATATATCTTTGTGACGCCAGGGCCTAGAGTTGGTCATTACAACCTCGCTACATAACCGTAGTTATTTTTTTTTAATTACAAATGAATTACTTTATGATACATAAATTATTAAATTTAATCACAATTACCTTCTTCGTGTAACTTGTTTAAGCATGCTATTATGATAACTACAATCTTGAATACATTTTCATTAGTTGACAAAAAATGTATAGTATCCTTAACTGAAGGTGTTAAGGTATCCTCTTTATTAATTTCTTTTTTTTTATCAGCTGTATTATTCTTGTTCTTACAATCATCAAAATTCTGCAGTAAGCTTATAATGCTAGCATATATCTATAAAGGTAATTGTGAAATTCTGTGTTAAATTATGTAATGTACATTATTAAATAAATATAGCAGGAAATGTACTTTATCTAATTCTTGTCCACTATCTTTTCCTCCGGTATACCATAAATCGAAAATAGAAAACAGTTTTTCTAAAAACACATTTCCTACTGGTTCAGATTGTTGTTGCAATGATAATATTAAGTTTTTTTCTCCTCCTTCAAATGGTTCAATACTAAAAACACTAGAAATTTAAAAATAAACTTGTAAATAGCTTGTATATACTTTTAAGTACCAAAAAATTATTATTTTATTGAGGTTAAATTCAAGTTGATTATGGTGAAAGTCCATATTAAAAATTACAAACATAATATTAACTCATAAAGTCCTAATTACACACACTGGTGTACATTGTATGCCAAACTTTTCATTAATCTTGTTCTATTTTGGTTCATAAATTTATTGTTTTCAGTTATTATCCTAATTTAACCTTTCCTAATCAACATTTAATAGTTAGAAATCCATTTCAATTGTTCAATGTTTGTAGCAACATAAAAAGCTCCATATTATATAATGATCGTATAGGTGAATGAAATATGTTGTGCATGTAAATTTTTTTTTGTGGGTAATTGGCTGATATCGGTTATTTTTTTTCTAATATTTAATTACTATACTGGTAAAAGCTTACGCCAAATGAAGTTAATTTTTAAATAAGCAAACAAAAGAAATGACTCATTATATACCGTATTATTCATATGGATTTCTGTATAAACCAAATGGGCTAACCCCCCCTGTATAGTTATTGAAAAAAAAAATAGCATGTGTAGTTAAGTGTTCATTTGCTAATTTTGTAGCCTGCCCTGGATCTGTTTCAGGAAATAATGGCAACACTATGAATGTATCATTATTAGGGAACGGATTTTAATTTAAATAAATATTTTTATCTAGTCTTAGCATCCAAAAGTTTTTGATATCTGTATAAGTTTCAATTCATTTTAAATAATCTGATGCTAATACTATTTTATGTAATATTGTAGAATTGTTGTAGGTAAGTTTTGGACACATTTTATCTAAGAAGGTACATTTAACTTGTCTAGTACACAGTTTCCACCGTATAGCAGAAACAATTAGATTTCAATTTTCTGAGGTTGATTCATTAATTTTCAACATAAAAAAAATATTTTTAAAAGCGCCAAATCGTGTACAAACATTTAAAGATATGTATATGAATTTAACTCTACCACCTGAGCCTATTATAACTCGGTGGGGTACGTGGCTATCAGCTGTATTATATTAATCGAATAACTTTGAAAATATTAAAAACATAGTCTTAAATTTAGATTCCAATTCTGCAATGGCAATAAAAAAAACTATTGAGCTCATAGAAAGTAATAATTTGCAAAACAATTTGGCATTTATTTCCACTAATTTTGGAATTTTAGTTGATACTATTTCAAAATTAGAAACTTCAAAAATGCCATTAACTGAAAGCTTAGAAATAGTTGACAATGCCGTAAAGCAATTGGAACGCGTTCCAGAAGAAATTGGAGTTGTAACCAATTCAAAATTAAAAAATATACTGGAAAAAAATCCAGGATTTACTACTGTTATGTCGATAAGGAACATACTATTTAACAAAACTCCTAAGTATAACTCAGAAATAGAATACAGTTCAAAATAATTAATGTGTATGAAATAAGCACCAATCACGTCCATTGATCATTTATAAAGCAATGCTAAGTTTGAATCGCCGTCACTTTAAATTTGAAAATTTCAAGTTATATGTTCTAACTGTTTTTCTCATGAAGACTATGATTCAGAATAATTTTTTCTTATATGCATTATTTTGTATTATGTATTATTTGTAATAAATTCTATCTTATTTTTAATTTAAATATTTGAAAATTATAGATTTATAAATAAATATTTATTAAGTAATATACAAATATAATTTAAATATTTTTAATTTTATACTAAATTAAAATCCGTTCCCTAATCATTATAATATTAGTTATAGGTTACCATCGAACATAATGGTAAACAGCATCTAAATGTTTGTTATTGGATAATGCCAATCGTCCAATTTGATTATGTGGGAGTCCATTTGCTGGTTTATAGTTTAATGCTTGTTTGTAATATCGACAAGCTGTTGAATAATATAAATCTAGTTTGTTTAGTTCATACATATATCGTGACAAATCTCCCAAACATATCAAACAGCGGTATACCAATTGTTTTATACCAGCTTCTTCTTTGTTACCTGGAATTAATTTATTCAGAAGGAATAAGTTGAACCAATTATTTATTTGGGAATCAATGTTTTAATTTACCAGTATCATTCTTTTTCAACAGAGTGATATGATCTTTTTTGACATTATTATCTGTATCATCATTTATCAGTAGATAAAAATCGAATAATTCAGGCCTACTGAATTTAATTTCTGCTTGAAATTTGAATAGTAAATGATAATAACTACCAATGCCTGACTGAAAATGATTTTCTATTAGTGCCAATTCCATCTGATTCCAATCATTATTCTGAAATAAAATGAATGTCTTAGTAGGTATTTTAAGAAAACTTTATTTAATATTCTATTAATAAAATGGACAATGTTACATACATTTATAATGATAATATATTAATAATTTAGTTATTACATTACTTTGCGTAAAATTTTGGCAGTAGAATAAACATCATGATAGGTTTTACGCCACATGATATCTTCAGCCTTTCGACCATAACATAATGGATCTGCAAGCATCATTCTTTCACAATAGTTTTTTAATTTTATTCGCTGTGTATCAACAGTAGCGGTAAAAAGATCTTTACAAGACAAAGACCTGCCACGCTGATCATCCAAAAAATGAGAAACTTCATTTATATTCCTGAAAACATGATTTATAAAGTTTTCATTGTATTTTAATGATATCATACTGCTGAATGTATATAATTTCAGATATGAAATTCAATATTAAATAAGTATTTAATAACATAATAGACTAAATAGTTGTTTTCATTACTTTTTAATAACTATATTTAAAATACCTAGCAATTATATTATTTTTTATTTAATCTTACAAAATATTATGATAGTACACATTCATGGTTACCAAGATTAATTTTCAAAAACAAAATTTAATAAAAATATATAGAGCTTAAAATAGCAAGGTGATGATTTACAAGTAGGATTTAACCCAAAGCGTGGTGACCGAGCTGTCAAGGAATGAGGATCGCACAAGGGTGAACAATAACATGGTACATACCATTGTTGTCCACCAAATACAAAAAAAGTGCAGCACACAGAACCCTATTACTCACTTGTACAGCTTTTTGACTGATTCGCTGGCGTCAGGCTCAGCTCCGCGACTGTTATGCAATTTCTTCATGGCAACCATTTGCTGCCACTAGCATACACACTATTATATAAGACACTTATTATTCGTATCTGCGTGCCAACAAACTTGCAGATCTATGTAGGTACAAATGTACCACAACCAGGTGGTTTGTCAATCGTCCGCAGCAGCTGCTGTTCATGCCGTTTGTTATGTTGACATGACCAAATCATCAATGACGGCAGAGGTGAAGCTTTCAGACGTGCAAGTTGGAGGGCAAAGGTCACTCCGTGAGCACCATCGCTCGGTATAATGACGGAACAAGGCGATGAAAAATGGCAACGGATGCCATGATAGACGAAATCACAAGTCACCGTAATCCCGCATCCAACAAGTTGTACTTGTCCGCAGCGCGTTTTTATAATAATTATTGTCACACGGTAAGAAACTAATGACAACTGAGAATGCAATAATTAATTAATGAAAATAAACAATGGTTATGGTAAACATAAGGAATCATGAAATAAGTAATAGCTATTTACTAATAAGCTTATAAGCTATTTCTAATTTATGTGACTAAGGTAAAATAATTTAATGTTTAGTGTTTACACTTTACGATAATAACGAAAACCTATGAAGTATGAGGTGTAATCTACTCTGTGGTATAAGTACAAAGTTTATTCATACTGGACTCAGGTACTGACTACAACACTGGTGTCTGGTGAGTGGTGGAACAACCAGTACAACCATAGTGAACCACTACGTTATCAGTACGAGCCATGGTCCAGTGCAGCCAACAATGTCGCTGCAAGATGTAATATCTTGTGTTACTATGTAAAAGCGTCATTAAAATGTTGTCTGTCGACACTGTAGTTGGTGATCAGTATTCGAAAAAGGCGCAATTTAACGGTAGGTATCGTGCATGCGCTTTGTTATTATTATTTGTTTTTATTTTTATTTCATAATTCGTTCTATCGCAATCACACGAACAAAATTCGGAATTCGAAATCCGGATGAACGTTAAACACTTAAACATTCCGTTCAATGTAGGTGCATATTGTACTCGCATCTCATTATTGCAGTTCTCATCGTTTTTATGACTTGGACCCATCTAAACGCTTTCGACATTAGACCACTCCTGTGATCTCGTTTACTGATTATACTGCTACTAAAACCACAGTAAGTACCCGTTTTAAATTATATGGAACGTGCTGTAGGCAAGAAATCACCTTTCGTGATATATGTATTTGTTGTGTATTAAGTATCTAATTCCTGTTATTGTTCGTACTATATTTTAATCTTATATTGTAAAGTTTCACGTCGTAAATTGTATAAATAAATAATCAAGTTAGCCAATCTCCCTTTTATTGCATTATTATTTAGGGCATTAAAATCTTAGGCCTTATTAATGTATAATTTATGAAAATAATAAAAATTAATAATACAAATCCTGTGTTGCATACAAAAATTGTTTAAATTTAATGGTTCACTAAAAATTAATGGGCAAATTATGGACCACTAAATCTTGTTTAAGAGACCATTTGGTAGTTCCCAATTGATTCATTAAATGTTAAGTGCAACACGACAAAAGTTTTAGATGGTAGGTACAACTTTTAGGATTTTTTAAAAGATATCAGGAGTTGTAAGTTTGTATCTGTTTTATTTTTTAACTGTGATAATAGTTCATTTTAAAATTTTAAAATATTTTATAGCCAATTGCTCAAATCAACCTTTGGATGTTTGGCGTTTAAGGGTTTTGGTCGGCACGCTGCCTGTTCTTTTGTGGGATAGAGTACCTATAGTTGGCAGTCGCATTGTCTGCATGTTTTGTATTATATTCTAATCGGCTGTAGTTATTTTATCAAACCATTTGCTTCATAGATTTTATCTTCAAATGAAATAAGATATAATTTTTTATTTTTATTATTTGTTAGGTATTTTATATTTTATGCTTTGCTGTAGTTTTTATTAGGTATTAAAATTATTGTTGACACAAAAAAAATTATTATTTTTATAGATTCCCAATGGCTAGCCGCCAGTCTGTTAGTTCAATATTGAAGCCACCCAAAGTACGGGCACCTCTAAAAGAAATTGAATCGGTTGAACAAGATGCCGATGAGAATACTGCTACATTGGCCAAAAGAAAAGTGAGTTTTTCTGGGATGAATAAAATAAAAATGTACAACACAGGTGCTACATCTTTAACTGTACATCAAGCTCCTATGTTTGATGAGCAAATTTCAATGTTATCTGATTCTTCAAATGCCGAAAAACCTAAATTATCAGGAAAATTTGAGAAATCTGATGCTCAAATTAGTATTGAATCAACTAATTGTACCAACTTAGAAGATAATGGCCGGATTATTATTGAGTATGAAAGTCCAAATGATAATATGGAAATGACCGAAGCACTATCTGGTAAAATATTGTCGGACACCATTTATACTATTGATAATAATGGTTCTGAGCATATTAGTTACAGTTCAGATTATTCAGAAAATAATATGGAATTCACCGAAGCACTACAAGGTGGCCTTATTTTATCAGGGGATAATAGTTGTAATTCCTTAAGTTCTACTGAAATATCTGAAACATTGGATGAAGAAAGTTATGATGAACTGGTTTGTCAATCTGGTCTTAAACCTTCAAAACCATTATCTGATGTGCTTATTATAAATCCTTTGAATACAAGTTCAAGTTCTAGTTGTATGGACTTCACCTGTGCTAATACTAAATCCAACTTATTATATAATACTCAATCAAATAATATGGAATTAACTGAACAAATGACATCTAAATCTTCAAAATCTATTTGGTCAAATGATGATTATAAATCATTGAGTATGGAGTTGACACAATTACCTGACAGACAGACATTTGAAGATAATTGTGAATTGGTTTATGAACACAATCAACATTCTGTAAGTATGAGATCAGATATATCTTGTGAAACTCAAGAAAACCATAATTATGAGTTAGAAATTGTACAATCTGAAAAATTGGAAAAAAATAATTTTAATTCTCAAACCATTGGTTGTGTGTTGAACAATTCTGATAATGGAGAAACTTTTATTGAAGAATTATCATCAAGTATGGTTTCAATGGATATTGATCCAACATTAGAAGGTAATGAATTTGATATTAGTTATGTAAATGTCGATAACCCACTAATAATTGAGAATAAACAAAACAATTCAACAATACCAGTGGTGGTAGGAATAGAAGATAGTGTTAACCCTGAAAAAAATGTGCTGGATAATTACTCAAATGTTATTGAAATTAGTAATGAAAATAGTGAATCTAGACTATCTATATTCCCTACAGGTTCATCATTTGTTGTAAATATGTCTCCAGAAAATAATCTAGACAATTATTTTGAAGTTGAAGAACTACATCAAACATTACATGGTCATACATCTGTGTTAGACCAAAATCAATATCTTGAAAATAAATCAATAATTGTTGAGAAACATGTACCAAAAAAATATTCAAGGAAAACAATGATTCACCCATGTCCATTAATTGTTCAAGGCAAATCTCATGAAAATGAAGATACACCTGAAGTTGTCAATAGTAATGAACACAAATATGATTCTAGAAAATCAATTGCTCCTACAACTGTTTTTAATGGTTACATTTCAGGTACATCTGAAAAACTTGAAGAAGAACAACAAGAAAAATATTCTAAACAATCAATAACACCTATGTCTCCCTTTTACCAAACTCAGTCTCTTGAAACTGAAAATTTGTCAGATACATCTGGAATTGTCGAAGATAATAAAAAAATCCAATACTCTAGAAAATCAGTTGCTCCTACATTTGTTTTTAATGAGGATGTTTTGGATACATCTGAAACACTTGAAGAAAACCAGCAGCAAAAGTGTTCTTTACAATCAATTGCCATGACTGTTTTTAATGAAACTCAGTCTCTAGAAACCGAAAATTTATCAGATACATCTGGAATAGTCAAAGAAAATCAACAAAACAAATATTCTAGAAAATCAGTTGCTCCCACATCTGTTCTTAATGAGGATTTTTTGGATACATCTGAAACATTTGAAGAAAACCAGCAGCAAAAGTGTTCTTTACAGTCAATTGCCATGTCTGTTTTGAGCCAAACTCAGTCTTTTGAAACTAAAGGTGTTTCAAATACATCTGTATATAATCCAACTGAATTGGCTGAAAAATGTGACACATCTGAATGTAGTTTTACTCAGTCTGCTGAAAAAGAAGAAACATCTTTGTATAATTCAACTCAATCTGCTGAAAAAGATGAAACATCCTTATACAACTCAACTCAGTCTGCTGAAATGGAAGATACATCGGCTGTTGTTGAAAAATATGAGTTAAAAAAATATTCTAGAAAATCACTTGGTCCAACTTCCTTAGCATTTACTCATTGTGAATCTCTGGATAATAGTACCTTGAATAATTCATCGGATACTGAAGAAAATAATGAACAAACATCTGAAAAGGCAATGAGTCCTGTGATTCCAGTAACTGTTAATAATCTGTCTATACTACAATCAGATGTATCTAGTTATGATGAAGAAAAATCAATTGCAAAAAGCAAACACCAATCTGTATTGCTTAATGTAATTAGTGATGATAACTTAAATTCACCTTTCAGGAAAAAACAAAAAAAATCTATAGTTCCGACACATTTAATAAGACTACCCATTGAAGATCCAAGTATTACTAATGAATTGGAAACTACTGATGAAAATGTTTCAGGGAATTTTGAAAATGTTAGTAAAATGGATATATCGATTGAAAATGAGTTTAAAAATGACAATGAACTTTTAGTTGTTTCAAAAGAAAGCGAAGAATGTTATAAAAATATTGTACATGATGATATGTTAGAAACAAATAAAGAAAATATTGTCTTAGCACTTAATGAATTGGAAATAAACAAAACAAATTTAAATGAATTAGTTGAAAATAATGACATTTTCAGAGAAAGTGAAAACAAAAATGAAGAAAACAATGTAAACGCCTCTATTAAAGTAGCTGACAATCATATTTTAAACTCAGATTATCATTCACACAGTTATAGTGATGATAAAACTACAAAAACGATTTGTGTTAAAGATAGATCTAATATTTCAACGGATGAAACATTTCAAAATAATGAAAAATCATGCCTGGTTAATCGAAAAAGAAGTTACAGCAATAGAGATTGTGCACCTTTATCTTGTTCATCATTTATGTCTAAACCTAATATACACAATAGCATGGAAGAAGATTTAAACACTGATGATTTTATACAACAAAGTCCTATTAAAAATGATATTATTAACAAGAGCTTAATTAGTGAACAATTAGAAATAAATAATGAACTTCAAGTAGGTTTGATTAAAAAAGAGTCTATAAAAGAAAATTTGTGTAATGAAGCTTTAGAATTTTTAACAAGATGGAATGAGCAATTTATAGAAAAAAAATTAGTTCTGGATAAGTGCACAAACAGAGAATGGATTTTCAATTTATTAGATAATAATATACTTTTAACAGTTACATATGCATACATTTCTAATGACTATACATTTCTTAAAGTGGAAGATATATCATTTACTGCAAAAACCATTACCAAAAATGAAATTATAAAATTTGGAATAAATTGGATCTTATCAAAATACAATCCAAAAGTGTACAAGCAAATATGTTTCACTTCAAGAGACGTAGAACTATTATTGAAATCTCTGTTAGAAGATGTTCACTTTATTAGTAAAGTAATGATCAATATGTCATATGTAAGGGATTTATATTGTGTCACATTTAAAGACAACAAGGCTCAATTTGTGATACATAATATGAATGGCCCATTGATGGTTCGTATTGAGATAACATTATCCAATATTCATAAGCTTTCTGTTAAAGATTTGTCAGTTGATTGTTTATTTGGTAACTTCAATACACAATTATTGGAAGAAATAATGGAAGATATATCAAAAGATAGTAATGTCTTGCAATCTTTAGTAGAAAAATTGACTAAACTCTACTCACACAGACAAAATTGATAGGTACATACATTTTAAAATTATTTAGTATAATTTAATGTAATTGAAGAAAAATAATGATCGAATTTTAACATCTCATGTGTTGATGATTTTATGTGTTTTAAATTTGTAAGTATGTAATCTACATCTATCTCTATATTATATTTGATTTATATTTTTATAATCAGTGACACGTGTGCATGTCTTATAAACCCTAATTTATATATACCTAGTGAGTAAACTATTCAATTGACCACGAAAATACCAAAAAAAAAATGTTACCACAGCAGTGAATTTTAAAATCCTTTATGAATCGTTTTCATGTTTATAGTGTTCATTTTTTAAACTGACAAAATAAGTGCCTATTCTAAAATGTTAAAAGTTGCTTAATACCTTATTAATTATTTGTATATATGTATATAATCATATATTATAAGAATTTGTAAATGTTTATAGGAATTTTTTAAAGTTGATTAAAACATGATGTTTACTCAATTAATTGTATTCTATAATATTATATTTTGCTAAATTTTTGATTTAAACTTATTATGTACCTTATCTGAACATTTTATTGTGTAATATTAACTGATATGAACTGTTCCCACCACTATGTTATTTTATCTTCAACTGACTTAAGGTCATAGAAAATAAATTTAACTATTATCATAATTATTTTAAATTGTATACAACTTTTAGGTACAATTAATGTTAAGTGATTTAATTAAATGTACTTACCTTTGAACAATAAATTTGAAACAAGACAAGGGTATTTTAATCTATATTTATCGTTAATTTACTTGTATGTTATTTTTACTTATTAAAATTTAGATGAAATGATTACATAATTGTATTCTATTTAACTAAAATTATTTATTTATTTTAATGACTTAAGATTATATAAAGTATAATATTGTTTTATGTCATTAATATTAATAAAATACCTATCGTTATATTTTGCATTTCTAATAATTAGTAGTAATTACCTATTACTTTCAGTTTAATGTTTATAAAATATAGGTTCCTAATATAGTTTGTAATACTGAACACGTTTGATATTATTTGTGGTATGAAGAAAAAAAAATTACATACTACTCAACAGTTTATTTACATCGCATGTACAAAAAAAATATACGATACAATACACAAAATCGGAACTGTTTCATCATTATTATAAGTATTTAATTTTAAATTCTCTAAGTAATTGAAAAAAAACAAAATATTACACATAACAAACTTTGTTTTTTAAGTTTGCACCATCAATTTATATGATTTATAACATAATTAATGTATAATCTCTTAAAGGGATTTTTAGAAAACATACATTCAATATACATATATATATTCATAAGTATATATATATTAATATGTAGATATAATTTAGAATAATAGTATGCTAGGTATTACGAGTAAAATAAAACTATTTGTGCTGATTTTGTCCAACTAATAAACATAGCATAAAAATCGAAAAAGTAACGACCGTAAGTATTATAAACATAATGTAATGGATACAAGAGTTAATACTTAATAGGATACAATTTATTATTATTATACAAATACAAATAAAATATTGTAATAGGTGGGTATTAATATAATATTTACACCTAATATTGGATTACTCACTTGAAAATAAAATTTCTAAATGGTTTCATAATAATTATTTTGTAAGATAGTTGGCAGCGATATTATTTTCCGTACAGTTTTTGGAAAAAGTATAATACTTCAAGTTTTTTAAAAAATATTTTTGTTCTATAGCTTTTAGGCTTTGCTTATTTTAGAAGTGACCGAAAAGACAACTATCACAATTTACTTAATACATTTTGTTTGTTTATTCGATTTGAATCTACTTCTGTGCTGCGGGAGTTCGAACATTGAGTAGTTCGTCATCGGTGTCTATACAACTATTATAGTAAGTTGATAAAAACGAAAATTTTTAAATGGACGTGAAACATTGCACTGTTTCCAACCCTTTTAAAATTAAAAAAAAAATACTAAATCGATTGTAATGCCTTCTACGTTTAATATTTAGAAAAAAATTCATTAACTTAATTTGGCCTAAGCACATTAAGGCACATTTAACTTTTATGGGTTTTAAAATATACTTTTTACACAGCAAATAAATGAAATTTAAATTCATTAATAAATGATAATAATAACAAATTGAAATGTAAAAGTTAAAGATAACTCAAGGCACTTCTAAATAAGTTTTAAAAAAAGTTAATGAAAAATGTAAACAATAACAGGGGTATAAATTTAGGTATATAATATTATATAGGTATATCATAATATATAACAATGTCATAACATAGCTATATAATATAAATATTTGATTTCAATATTTTATTATTTATTTATTTTTTTAAGAAAACGTGAAATATCATAAAGCTTATAGTTCCTAACGTAAGTATGTTACTCAAAATTTAACACTTAACGCTCATTGAATATATTTAAAATTATTTTAATTATAATAAACTATAATAATATAATAGCAATATATATATAATATTTAAGTTAAAATTACGGATTTGGTCCTGATTCAAAATGTCCCCTTTTGTTTTCGTGAACCCTTATAAAAACTTGCGAATATTGTAAAATCACTTATCGGATTGCCAGCGAGTCGTTGAGATTTATTAGAAAATAATATCATCTATGCTCAAACCTATTAAACACTATGATATGTATTTCGTTGAAATTTTAAATACAGTGATTCAATTTCATTTGAACTTCATTAAATTATAGTCAATGCAAGTATCTCATTAAACAACGTGGAGTATATACGAGTAGGTATATACTATGCAATTTTTGTGAGCTAATTTTTTTTTTTGCTTACCTAATTATAACGGAACATTAAAGAACGAATAGAAAAAACAAATGTGTAACGAAAAAAAAGGTAATTTTAATTTAGCTTGAAACTTAAAAACTAGAACAATATTATTTAAAAATAAAATGTACGTTAACCACGGGGATTTGGTGCACGTCCCTTAAACTTTGTATTTGTTGTAATGTGTATAAAATGTTAGCAATTTATTCGTTCATTCAAGAGTTATCGCTTGGACACCATATATATTATTATGTATAGTCAAATTATATTTTATTCCAAATTTTTAATTCTTAAAACATTAAGAAGCTCTACCGAATATATTATTATATATTTTTTGGATGATTATTTTATTATTAATTTATATTTATATTAATATTATTTAATATTGTTATAAAGATTTTATTGGTTATTTAGAATCGATTTTCGTAGAAAAATATAATAATGTACGTTACGCGCAATTATTCTAAAGCGATAAAATACCTACCTATAAAGACATTTAATAATATAATTACAATTTAATATTTAATTTTATAAATTTATAAATTTTAACAATATTAAAAAAATCAAAATCAAAATAAAAGCCATTTCGGCGTATACAATTCTACATATCTCGTTGAACGTGACCTATGCGTAATTTTAAAATCCACTTGTATATTCTGAGCAATTCTTACTAATTTCTAGTAGAAATAACAAAGTATTTTTTTGTGTTTAACATTAATTAATTCTACTTAAGTATTTTAACAATAATAATTTATTATTATACTTATAATATTATTATATTAACGTCAATATAAGTTGTACGTAGACGATTTTGAATCGTTTTCCCAGTCGTTCGGCTGATTTTAAAATGAACGCTGACATATTTTTGTTCCTAGAAATATACAAAAACGTTGGATTAAATTATTATCTACGTATGAACGTCGAGTGGTTAGTCGAGTAACGACACCAAACATAATTACATAAATAGTGGAGTAAGTTGTAAAGGGTGTAATAAGAAGACCAGACAAAAAAAATAACTTGTTCTTATTAATATTTAACATTTTCGTTTATCATTTCCAGATGTTTGCATTACACAATTACACATACCTACCTATGATAAAAAAAATTGTATTTTTATTTTTAATATTGAAAATAATTTAATAAGTCTGACCTAAATTTTTTTGAAAAATTCAAAAAGCTGATTCGTTAATCTGATTTTTAGAAAAAAGTTGATTGTAAAAATATTTATTGAAGTCTTACAAATTATTTTTAAAATTATTTTTGAAATCTCATTATTTTTTATGGGTTAAGTTGATCCAGGCTTAAAAAACCTTTTTAATTAAACAATTTAAACTTTTTTTTAAATAGGTAGGTATTTGTTTAAATCTAAATATGTTTTTAAAAAGTTATTACTTTTCAAATTAATTAATTAAATGAGTTATAAAAAATTAACCACTTGACTTAGATATATGTTTTTACAGTCAACATTTAAAAGAAACTAGATTTAAAAATAAGATACCTTTTAAATGTTCGAATTAAATTTAAATTAGATTTTAATTTTTTAATTTTTAGTATTAAATAATGAATAATGTTCCTATTTACTAGCAAGTAGTATGTGTTTGTAAAAATGTAAAGTGGTCTAAAACTTAAAAACATACTTCAAACTGAATATGATAATTTCAAACATTTCAAAAATTCAAAAACTTACTAACAAAATAAACGTTATAACGCTGCAAGTTAAGCAGATCAATCTGTTGTATCCATTTACCTATAATAGACTGCACTGCCCTGCAAATTGCATGGCCACTAATAATTTATCATAGGCATTGCCCATTAAATCGTGTGATAATGTGATGAAAAAAATTAAAACTTGAATAATTTTTACTCAGCTCCGGAGTAAACATCGGGAAAGCTGTATTTTAGATTAAGCTGGGTTTTGGCGTGTGTAACGGAAAAACGCTATGATGAACACAATTTACTATCTTGTGGATATAAAAATATATTTGGGTTAGCGATATTATACATTATAATGGTGTGGGTATGACTACAACGTTTGAAGATTGAGATAAATAGAGTTTGGTCGAATGCCAGAGGAAAAGTTTATGATTTGGTCATAATACATGCGACGTACGTGACGCGATTGTACGCGAAAACCGAGTAAAACGGCTGTGTGGCGTGTCGCTGTTGAAAATTATTAGTGCGGCACAGTGAGTTTAACATATACGTTTTTATTTGTATTTTATTTTTTGTCTCATTATATCATCCTATTTTTTGATTATTCTCAGGACACTCGAATGAAAAACGGGACGCCTGTAAGCGCTCCATATTACGTAGGTAGGTATAGGAACATAATAAAAAGTAAGAGCGTATATCTCCATCCAAATAAAATTTTATTTTCGTTCTTATTGTTGTTGGATTATATTATTTCCATATTTTAAATCAAAAAGAAACGAAATAAATAAGAGATGGGAAATGTGTATTACGCGCACAATCACGCAATATAGGTAATCATTATTTATTATAATCCTTCTTAAGAAATAAATCGTCCCTCACATCTGGATATCTGGTATACTCCAGGTGTACACTACACAAACACTAACTAAACCTTTGATTTACAATTCATTAATTGGCAAAAAAAATAAATTAGTTCGTTCAGTTTGGTCGTTTCTTCTGATAGATATCTATTTGTAATAGGCTATAACTACCTTCCTAACTTGTGATATCTTAATTAAAATTAGTGTCCAGATGCAAATAAAGTAGATATGCGGGAGTATGGAGTACCTATATTTGTTCTTTAATAACTATACGAAGACCGTAAAACATTTGTGAGCTATATTATTTTTATGTTTATTTGCCAACGAATAGAAATATGCAGCAAACTAAAGTTGTTTTGTTTGAACTGCTGTTAGACATTCCTCCCTATACCTATACGGCTATACTCCCTCCCTTAACAACCACCATTTCTAGGGTTGGTGCGGAGTAGATACCGTTCGACCGTATAATAATAATGTAGGTAGACCTAATTAAAAAGTAAACAAGACCGTGCATCTACCTTCGTTTTAAATAGGACGGGTTGAAAAAAAGAAAAATTAATTAATAATTAAAAATAGAATTTTACGTTGTTTTACGCTCGGTGAGATATACAAAGACCGTTTTTTTGTGCTATTTAGCGTTTTGAAAAAACAGCTATAGGTATATATTATGATACTAAAAGAGATAGGGTGAATTCCGTAGAGCTTCTTTGTTGCAGGTGTAAATACTAAGTATAACGCCAGATGATTTAATTATTCAAAAAAGCACCTTATTATATATATGCACTGTGTACACGAAGTTACAGCATTCAATCTGCAGAGCGGCGTGGGTAGGTAGTATAATATTAAGTTGGTATGTTATATAATATAGTGGTTTAAAAATCATATTTTCAGTAATCAATAGGAATAGGTAGGTGTACTGTGTGCTGTTAGTTAGTTATGAAGGGACATTGTAGTGCTGTACATAAAATATATAAATAATTAATAATTAACCAGCGTGGCGTGACCTGTACGGACGAATCAATTATGTTTGGTTATAACTAATAACCAGGTTTTCAAAAAAAAAAAAAAACGCGGTTGAAAACAATTTATCCGCATTTTAAGGTCGGCAACATGGAATGGATTAAATTAACATCACCATGTACGTTTGTCGATAAATGACGATAATATATTGTAATTTGATTATAATAATACGTTATTCTATTTGGTCGGCCTGCAGCAGCACTCGTATTACTGCAGTTGGTTTCTACATTTTATATAGGTATGTAGTATCGGAATCGCATTTATCCTTATGAATAATGGGTTACTGTCATGTTTAAAAGCACTGCACTACCCGGTGTAGATATATATATAGTTTATAATAGATTTAGCGACGGACCGAAATTAATTACAAACGCTTGCATCTGTGTTATTAAATTCGAGCGATTCCGGATAATAACCATTTTATACCCACTGTTGCAGAACACTCACATGGTGCTCTGCAAAAGAGTGCAAAGACGCGAGACGCAAATTCGGTTATTCACGACTCCCGCCCAAGCACGCATTAAAATTATTGATTTTAAGACTAGGTTTTTCTCTCTCCGAAAGTGTAACAGATTTCGCTTACCTACTGTAAATACTATCAGTTTTTTTTTCATACGAAAAGTTCAATGGTACTACGTGGCAGGTGGGTACCTACATTTACCATTATGGCATTATAATAAAGCCTAGAGGCAAAGCGGAGATAACAAAAGCTAAGGTCGATAACGAGAACGGTCTCATTTTACGATACGGTGGGGCGAGATTAAACACTTTAGGCGATGACAGTAATCGATACACCTTTGATACAGGCAGCGTAGTAGACGGTAAATAAAGTAAATAATCTACGTACTGATGCATATAATATAAACTACGGGTAGGTAACGATGGACGAGGGTGGTAATTATAATGCAGATGTGATGCCAACGTTAAATACTAATTTTTTACCTACTCACAATCATATTAATGGCCGTTAGTGTATTCTAATGTCATAATATAATTGTTTAATTCAGGAACTTAAGAAATAACAAGTTCATTTTTTAAACATATTTCTATGGCTAATTTTCTTGAAGCTGTGCCGCTTAGTTTTATTATTTTTACACAGATTTTATTAGAACGTTATGGTTTTTATAATATTAAAATATTATCATGTATTATTAATGTAAGTCTAAGACAATGAATGCAACGATGCGCCTACAGTACTAAAAACCATAATTCACAACAAGACTGAAAATAAAATAACAATAGCACACTACGTTGGGTTTATCTGCAATTTGATTTATTAATAAAAAGTTACGATTCAAATAACTAAGTAACGTAACTACGTTAAATAAATAAATTTATTTATAAACATGAACACCTATTAGAAAATTTAAATTGAAAATATGTTTATAATATAATACGCATTACACATAATATAACCTATTACCTGTAGGCTGTAGCCCCGATACATTGATTAACCGTTTTGGGAGAATATGCAATTAGTATGATTATTAATTTAAAGTAAACACAATTTTTAAATTCACGTGCAACTTACACTTATTTCAATTCATACTGTGCCCAAAAACATGGGATAGGGGCGTTCGTCTTAAAATAACCCGACGTGGTGTGACAATCATTTATATCATAAGAACATAATAATTACCGATGGGCGGCGGTCGGGCGTGGGCTCAGCTGGACGGCTGGATGGGCTCGGGCACTAAATGCGGCGTCCGGCTGCTGATTGGCGGCAATATGGGACTGGTGGGCCAGTGGTAATGGGACGCGCCGCCGGCACCGGTCGGTGGCACGCTGCGCGAGTGGGACATGACCGTCGATCCGTTACCCATGGCCAACATCATGCCGCCGCTCGCGGCGCCCGAGGACGACGGGAACATCAGCGGGTTTCCGCCGACGCCGGTCATGCTGCCCGCCGGAGACGAGACGGACGGTTGCATCAGACCGCCGGTGGCCACCGCGGCCGCAGATTCCGGGTGCAGGAAATTGCGCCTGGACTCCGTCGTCGACGACAGGTTGCTGGTGTTCTGCTGGTTCTGCTGGTTCTGCGCTATGCACCGGGTCAGGATCTCCGGCAACAGCTCCAGCTGCGTAGACATGTCAAGCATTTTTTTTTTATTGATTGTTGGAACGCGTGTACGTCACCCAAATTCTACATTGATATTTTCTACCCTCCATATTATGCTCCTCCTATTTCGTCATTTTGTGGAATTTACGGACAAGCATTCCAACACCATTAAATTGGCCGACAGTGTATGAAAACAAGGGAATTCCACATAATGTTATTCTACTACTCCTCTCATCAGCTCGTCGCGCCGTTAAATTCTAATAGGTTATAACTAATTAATAAAGTTCAAAATATATTCGGTTTTCATCTATTGAAATTTTCAAAAATATATTCTGCTTCTGAATATGAAATTAAAAATGCATATTGCGATTTAAAAATGTAAAAACTTATAATGATAAAAATAAAATTTTAATTTTAATCATGATATGAGAAAATGACATTTCTAAAATGTTAGTATTTTTCGAGAAAATTAGGGTTTATTTTTAAAAGAATCGATTAGGTAGGTATATTGAGTATATTTGTTTTTTTAAAATAAAATTCTTTTATGAATATTGAACAGAAGTTTTTCATATACGAGCAACTATTTGTATAATATATATGCGTATAAATGTCAAAAATAGACAGTTCTTGCTTGATTATGACATTTTAATGGTACTTAGCTGATGTAGTGTATTCATTTACTTATAAACATTACGATGAAATAAAATTCGAAAATACATTCATTGCAAGAGAATATAATACTTTATATTTTTATTATTTGTACTCGGCTATACGATAATAATTGTCAGAGTTTAAAGTTTAAACCATGATTAAAATGCATGTAAACAAATATCAACGAATGTAATAAAAACGCAGAAATCCGCTTTCATGTTTACCACCCGTCGATCGGTAACAATTAATAACAATAGTGTTTCCATAAACATTAATATTGTACCGGTGATAAAAACGATTGCTTGAGAAAAAACTAAAAAGTTGATTTGATGGAGATTTTAGAGAGCTTATGACGACATTTGAGTGTTTGACAGTTCGGATGACACTGTCTTGCGAGTAAAATTTTACCTGCACGTCATGTAATTTCCTCCTACACTCTCACACTATCTCCCAACAACCACTCCCCAAACAGCTTCAGATATCAAGGGTGAGATCGGATGTGCAAGACACGCTTTCGGATGTTGTCATTTCGATTACAAGACAAATTTAATTTGAACACCGTCAAACCAAACGATGAAGCACTCTGGCAAATATTCGTGTAATATTATTATGACTAATGACTAATGATAACAGTACCTATCTCCGTAGTCCTGATTCAGTCAGGCTTTTCGGTGTACAGTTCACACTGACAAATCATTTAAAAGGTTCCTTGCGTGCCATGCCATGATAAGGATCTTAATTCGAATGTCGTGGAAATAAAATTGGACAAAAGGCATTTAACCGATATCCATATTTTCCACCCCGTGAAAGCCGTTATAGCGTTGTAAATTTAGATGGGGTTCAATCACTTGAATATGTGTAATGAAGTGGAATTTTTTTCTGACATTTGGCAAGCGCTTAGGATTATTATCTTTTTAGGATATTATTATTTTTTTTTAAAGATTTATCAAAAAAAAATCCGCTCGGTTGGAAGTCATTAACAAACTTTTTTTTGTAAAACAACTCTTTAATTTTCTTAAGCTTGATAAAAAAAAATATTATTTTTGACCTAATTACTTGGCAGTTTAAAGACCAATAAGAGATTCTGTACTAAAGCGTAAAACAATAATTGTTTGTTAAAGAATAATGATGGTGTAAATAAAGGCAAATGTATAAATTCTGAATAATACAAAAATTGTAACAATATATTATAATTATATAATATTCAAATTAATTGAATTAATTGTTTATAAATTAAAATGTAAAACGGTAGTTATAATTATAAACCTCAAATACGTCAGAAAATTAATCAAAGTTTCAATTACATAATAATATAATTTGGTGTAACACTGTGTTATGTAATTGTAGTTGTATAACTTGATTGAAATACATTGAATGCATTCGGTCATGCAAAATAATTTACGGAATTGATGGCTGAATAATTTATATTTTATTTAGACATGGTTCATTGAGACTTGAAATTGTTGTTTAATATTATGTTTCATTAAATTCCTTTATTCTTAGTTATAATAACAAAACAAAATGATTTCAACGAAACTGTAGACCCGTATAACTGTGACTGTAAATAAATCTTTAAGTACCGTACCGATGAAGAATTATTTTTTATTGTAATTGATTTAAAAATAAAATGTTTAATATTCCGAACACGATGTTGCACGTACACCGTATAATAAACGTATAAATTGATAGTATTTTATAGTAATCCCAACTGGGAATGACAATGATGTAGCAATAAACAATATGGAATTATATTATTTACCTGTTCTTGTAAGGCTACCAGTTTATCTTCGAGATTCACCAAACGTTCTTCAAACGCATCATATCGATTACTCATGTCGGATACAATTTCATAAACTGTGTTCTGCGTCTAAAAATATATCAATCATTATCCTCCATATTTATTGTTGCGGTGGAGGTAATTTCTGTTACTCACTTTGGCCATGTCTGTTATTGTATTTGCGTTGTCCATTAATTTTCTTTGGTCCATTTTTACTTTTCTCAACCTGAGGTAAACACGAAAATATTTATCTCAAACTAAAAACATAACACCCGAGTTTCACGCAGTGGTCCTACGGTGGATGTATCGAGTATTATCTTTCAAACTGTCTACTTGAAAAATGTTCGCATTCGGTTGGAATACGATTGTTGATAAAATAAAAACTCTTGTTATCCCCTCGAGGGCAGTGCGGTTGTTTTAATTGAAGAGTTTAATTGAAAAGGGTTTGTGTACGTCATGTAGTTGTTCATCAGGAAACTACTAGTATTTAATTATCACAAGCGCGTTGAGCTGGAACAACTTATTATTTTCTATTCAACTCTGTAAAGTCGCGAAAAAGAAATGCATTTGAATATACTGTGTGTTACGAACACGATAATAGAATGTTTAAAGACAAAATATAATTGTACACGAACAATATAACGAATGCCATTTTAAGGCTGTTTTTAAGTCGTTTAAGCCGGTAATAGTTCTTCTGCAGAGAATTTCTTTTGATGGCCGACAAGCGTTTCGGGTATTATTGAATTTTAATAGACTTACGCGTATATGGCCAACAAGAATTTTCGTTGGTGTGTTCGAACCCTGCCTGCATTCACCCTTTTCACCAGTCTGGTGTGTTTGTAGATCAGCCACGTCTCTCTAAGGACGTTGGCCGCAGCGTTTTTCAGCTAAAAAAGAAATATATTTTAGATGAAAAAAAAGTCTTTCACAATTATAGTATATAAATTATTTAATATTGTACTCGTTTTGTAAGTTGAGTGTCCATCATGAAATTATGGACATGTTTCTCTGCCCTAGACAGTTCCATCTTTCGTGACACAACAGCCACTAGAAGAGCTGTGCACCCGGCACCCTGGAAACATCATTTAATCCATAGTTATTTAAGACCAGCATTGATGGTCAAAATAAAATTGGAGGACAAATTTTGAAGGAGAAAAACAACACTACATTATAGTTAGTATAGTTGTCTATTTATTGTGTTTGATGATCAAAGCCAACATAAATTTGTTCATGCAAAGTTATAAATATAAGTTTGTGTGGAAGTTTGTTTTATAAATGATTGATGATGGTTAAAGAATAACAAAAACCGTAAGTGGGGTACATTTTTTAAAAATATTTTCTGTTTAGAACGACGATGATGATGTTATGATAGTAATAATAATAATAATAATAATAATAATAACAATAATAATGATAATATAATATATTATAATATAATAGCTCTATTCATGCAATTTAAAAGGCTTTATGTACTAGTAGAAATTAATGCTTATTTTTATAATTTAATTAATTAGTTAAATTTATTAAAAGCGTAGTGTTTAACTCTTTTGTTTAACTCTGATTGACAGTAAGGACTAGGTAACAGATGTTATCGAAAAAGTCCATTGGTACGATCCAATTTTCGATGTCACAGTAATAAGGCCCACTGCTCGGTTGACGTTTAAATAAAGTATGTTATTTTGTTCTTTCATTCATCCACGTAGAATTAAAATATCATTAGTGTTGGCATTTGGCAAAATAATTGGGACCGTGGAAAATTAAAGCATGTTCCATTATAATATCAATGTGTATTTGGAGTCGTTGTACTACAGTTACAGATGTGCTCCATCTCATCGAATAAATTTCGGTGTTTCGTGTTTGGATGTACACTATATCGACCTCTAAACATTAAGTATTCTTGTAGAAAATAATCGAGTGCACATTTTTTAAATTTATACAAATCAACAAGCGTTTGAATGCCCACTTAACCATATTATATTATTATTATGTTCATGCAATATTAAACAAAGAAGTTCCTGTACAGTTATACTTAAAAATAAAATAATATTACAACGTGCATCCCGGGTTAGTGAAAAATCGAAAAATTATTTACACATTATTATGATTGTAGTGGAGTTTTCGTTTTGTTTTAAAGCCCATGTTTTATTTTCTTGAAACGTGAATGAGGCAAAATAGTGTTAGACAAAGCGTGATACATTTGACATTGCATGGCGATTAGATATGTTTAGTGTTCACATAAAAAATATACAAAAATAGTTCATACTATCCTGTTTGTCTTTATTTTTAATTAGTCAATTATTATCATATAATACAAACATTATCTAACAACTAATTATTATAATATTATAGTGGCATGAATTTTCAAATTAAACGGGGATGGTATAATTATATCCGTTTGCAGTGCATCGAGACACCACATTTGCCTACTCAGGACGCCGTGTCAGCGACTGTAGTATTTATAATAATTTTTTTGTAGGTAGTTATATTATGGTGTTTACACCTAAATCTAAGACAGTGCGTCTACACATGTAGAAGTGTCTAATTTCTAAGTAATAATAATAATAATAATAAATAATTGCAACACAATTGTACAATATCACATGTGATTTTCACAACGGTATCAACAATGTTATACATCAATTACGAAATATCTATAATATTATTGTATCTAAAGCGCTATTGAAACTACTGTACAAGGGGCTTTATATATTTATAAAGCGCTTCTACGCGCTTTGCATGGTGTTCGGAATGTTCAAGTAAGACACTTGGAATTTGCATCATATGAGCGGTCCTTAAAATAATTGCTTTGAAACGCTTTTACATGTAATTATTATTATTGTTATATCAAAGGGATTCATATAAAACCATGTTTGATGCTAGAGGAAGAATGTAGAGTTGGAAAACAAAGTATAATATGTATGATGTTTATATATATTTACATACAGGATGGTTTTCTGTAGGTAAAATATGCCATTTCTCGGAAAATATTCATCAATTTTATTTAGCATACATTTTTCAAAACTGTTTACGGTAACGCTCCTTTTACGTTAAATTACATTAATAATTTCTCATATTCCCCTCGTCTTTAAAACAGTATCAAATTTCAAATTTAAATGGCAACGTATAATTTTAAATTTTTTAAGCCATTATATTTAAAAAAATGTCGATGCACCTAATTGCCAATAATCTAATATCAGACTTTTTGCTTTAACTATAATTATATAATTAAATATTTATAATTAATAACCATTAACCAAAGTCAAATATCAGATAAATCGTAAACGTATATAAATATTTTCAGAAAATAATTTTATTTTAAATCTAAGCATTAAAATTATAGGTTGCTGCATCAAAAGTATCTATTGTTATTAGGGAGCGTGTAACATTAATTATGAAAATGTAGAAAATATTTGTGTCATTAAAAAATTTGATTGAATACATAAAAAGTTAATAATATTTTATCTCACCAGTTATTATATTCTGATTCGCTATTAAATAGTCTTCTTTTCGCTAGTGGAATATATATAAATGTTTGACAACACTATGGGTACATTAATCTCTATTTTTTTATAATTATATACAATACACATAGTTTAAAACTAAAAAGTTTATTTTCTATGAATCCCTTAGACGCTAGCTGTATCATGTTTCCAATCAATTCATCTACTCTAAAATCTAAATCCATTTGGACATCGCTCAATGGTATTCATTCCTAAATTAATTTAATGCATTTTCCAAGCAAGCACGCTAGAAGTTTTTGACGCTATCGGCTGGATAGACTATTTGGTCACTAAATTTGAGGCCACTGGGATATTTGTTTGGTTGTTCTGGAGTCGGTCTTACCATTATGCCAGTGGTGACCGCAATGCCACGACCGCAGTAAGTGTTTGGCACTATGTCTCCGAAGCCCACGCTCAGGAACGTGATCGCTATGAACCACATGGAGTTCAGCAGGTTAGCGTGATCTTCATCATGAAACCTACAGAGCCCCAGACACAGTGTAGTATTGATCACAACCCAATCCCAGTAAAAAAATTAAATTATAAATTATAAATATTACAATATTTCTTATGAACCACGATTTATTATCTTTCTCCTATCGACTCCAAAAACACATCGATATGTACAGTTTCCGTATCGAAATTATTACTAGGATGCGTAAAAAAAGACAATAACACAATTTTAGACACGAGTTCATTTTCAATTCTCTTTTGGCGCGTATGACAATACTGGCTGAAATACATTAAACGAAATTCATTGCTTCGATTGTTTATCAGCCCCAGGGATTCAGAACTATACGTTCTAACCCGTTTATCCAATCACGATGACATTTAAAAAAAGTTTTGAAATATCAACACGAGTTCAGGAGTGCGTGTATTTTCTATTTTGTAGAAGATCTATTATGAAACGTGACTTATTCGTTAGTCTTTGATGCGAAACTTCATCGTATTTCAGACAATACGACTTTGTTAGACATAGTACAGGACCCCAGATAAATAATATACAAATATGGATAGGGTGTCCTACTATTTTAGATATTTCCTAACGATGGTTTTTATTAATAAAACACGGTTATTATATGAGACGATAACATAAAAGACTATAATATACTAAATACATTATACGACGTTATAATGACATGTTAATGTTTTAAGTAAAAATTGATACTCGGAAGTTATTAAATCCAAGATTGGTGCGCAACGTTCGAATAGTTAATGTTGTATTACACATAAAGTTTCGTACGTTAATTCTGAACGGATGAATGAAACATTTACATAATAAAGTGTTTAACAAGTGCTCGGAATTTAATTACACCCACACCCTCAGAGAAAGAAACCATCTTTTTGTACAATAAAAAAATATTATAACTGGACACAAGTGTAGAACGTATGAAAGCTTTCAATTCAATTGGTTCCCAATGAATGTAAATAGCTTTTTAAAGCAAATAAAGTTCTAAAACTTTGTGTCGCGTCTATAAAGTTAGCAGAAGCTCGTGCCAGGACATAATTAATTTACGGCGGCGGCGGTGGCTATGGCAGTGTTGGTTGGGTGTGTCCCCTATTAAAATTGGTTTACGATCGTTATTATTCGAAATATAAGCTTAATCGAATTATGTGCGACGGGAAATTGGGGGTGGGAGGAGGGAAATTTAAAACGACTTTCCGGATTCGCTAACTACACGGAAAACACCATGTTGTACAGCGCTTAAACGCGTGTATAAACGCAATTCCAATTTTGTAAGCTCCAGAGTAAACAGTTCGCTTTTAATTGTTAAAGTTAATTACATTTTAATTTTTGTTGATGAAGAGTTTTGAAGTAATAATTCTCTCTTTCTCGGTCACGAGTAAGAGGTGGATTGGTGGTTGGTTATACTGTCAAAAGTAAAAGCGCACGATGGCGCTGTGTTTGTAAATATGTGTCAGTGTATTTGTGTCCTGTGTGTGTGTGTGTGTGTGTGTGTGTGTGTAAGTGGAGTGTGAGCGTGTACACACACTCATACACGTCGTGTGTGCGCGTTTATTGTGTATTGTGTATTTGTTCGTCATTATCAATCTTACCATAATACCGCAGGAGAGCGTGATGCCTCGTCCGCAGTACGTGTTTGGTACAATGTCTCCGTAGCCTACACTGAGTAACGTGATGGCTATCAGCCACATCGAGTTCAAGTAATTGGCGTGGTCCTCGTCGTGGAACCTGCGTGCAATATACAATGTCCATACTACTGGTAGGACAGTAGCAGTGACGCTAGATTGCCTCCTCCATTTACGCAATAATGCGTTCGATGATTATTATTATTTTGTATTCAACAAAATAAAATATCAAATCATTTAGTTGCAAAAAAAAAGAAGATGAGTAATACTACTTTTCAAACATTTTATTACAGTGATTAATAACGAGCAAGAAATTCCGAGGAAGAAAAAATATTGAGGGAGATGTATATATATATATATATATATTTTATTTTTGTTCATTAATGTGTATTTATTATTATTCTTTACACCACGAACATCTCAGTACAGACTAGGACTTGGGATTTAATGGCGCATAAAAAAATGTACAAAACCACTGGGAATTGTAAAATCTATCAACGACGTACGTACGTGCTATTTCCGTAGAAGAAATCAACGGATGTGTTGCAATCTTATGTAGGGTATCTACATTTTGCAGGTAGTTAATATAAGGTGAATATTTATATAAGTACTAGTCACAGGTTACTCAATTAAACATCAGTTAACATACCAGCCCACTGTAAAAATACATTTTATTTACTCTTACAGAGATATTTTCTTTAAACAAAATCATTATAATGTTATATTATTGGTGAAATTAATGTCTATGTATTGTATTAGAAGCTATCTTCAAATAAATATCCTATTAAAAGTCAGAGTAACATATAGTTAAAGGTTTCCTGAAAGATGTGTTATATTTGTATTCACATTTTATTCCAGTAATATTAAACACATTTTAATCGTTTCTAAGGTGTAACTTTATAATTGTTATAACTCATAAGTTATATGTGTATGTATACATTAATAATAAGTGTAATTTATGATACAATTAAACCTTTTATAAATTATTGTTTTTCATATAATATAATATAAATAAAAATTCCATCATATAACAGCAGCCTACACTACTAGGTGGTCGGTATGATAATTTTCTTTTAAAGAAAACTTCTTTTAAATTCACGCTTTTCGTGTAAATTTGAGAATATCATATAATATAATATTACATTAATCATGACAATTACACGCCTAAGAACAGACACGTAGGCTACTATTGGGTTTTCTAGTCGTTTTAAATACATTAATTTGTTTTGGATGGTAAGCTGGAACAATTATTATGCCATCGCCATCACGACTAGGTTTCACAACACCGTTCATAATGACACTAATTCAGTTTAGAATAATGGATAAAAATGTCTCATTGGCATTTACTGAGTTTTCACCGCAGAGGTTCTGATGAGGGATTTCACTGGGACGGTAATTGGATTGGTGGATTTAATTTGGACAAATTTATTACTCGAGAAACCACCGAAATTCGCTCTACCAGCTATACAACATACATTATACATACGAGTGCATCTCGGTGGAATTTTAATGGAAATAAAATCGTTGGCGACAAGGGTTCGACGATAAATTTTCAGTGAAAAGTCGAAAGAGGCAACGGATAATATTCACGGTAGTGGTTTGTGGTAGTGGGGGAACAAAATGAACAACAGATAAACATTACTAATGAAAGTATAATCAAAATGATTATTCGTTTCTAAAAGTGAGTTTTGATTGCTGTTTTATGCGAGCTTGCTCTCCCCCTACCAACCAGATCAGCCTCTATATTATTTTTGGTATTGTTATTTATTTTGTGGGTACGCGCCGAGTGCATTTGTTTGTCTGGAAGAATAATTGCTCCCGGGAGTAATTTGAAATGGCTATGGATGGAGATATAAAATCGAACGGAAGTAAATAACCGGATATTAATTTAACAGACAAAAAAGCACAAATAACTCGAAGGAAATTGATAATTAAGATGAAAAGCAAAAAGGGGTGTCCTAATGTAGTAATATTCTACTCTCTTTCTCTAGTACATAAAGAATAAACTAAGTAAAACAGAATTAAAAAAAAATAAAAACTCCTCGTTATTCTTGTGGACTGTTTTCCAAGCTCAAGTATACTAGCTCAAGTATACTCGAGATCTGAAATGACGCGTCAAAATCACTCGAACTCGAAGTGTATATTATCTCGACGTTTGGAAAACAAAAACTTAAGTATGACTGTTTTCATGATCGTTAAAAATGTCATTTTGAGAGGGATTGAAAGATTGATAAAACTCCTTAACTGATAAATGCTGGACATTAAATGTCTGCTTAGACGCTTAGAAAGTCATATACAACTTTAAACAATTTATTACACTGCAAATGACTCACATTGTTTGTAAATATTTTCCCAACATTTTTTTTTTTGAAGGGAGATTAATAGCTTAGTTATTATACTACATTTTTATTCCATTAAAATTTGTTTTTATCATATTTAATTTTATAAATTTTAGTCTGTATACCTATATTTAGATATTTAAGCATGGTTTTATACAGCTTTTTTTGTTATACAACTAAAGTATTTTGAAATTAAAAAAAGCTGCAAACATTTTGTTTTTGGTTTAAAAATTGAATGTATTATTGTGCAGTTTAATTAGTATTAGAATGAAGTTATAATTTATTTATTTGTAAATCTTCTGAACTGAATTGAATATATTGTTTTTTATACATAAAAAAAACATTATATTATTTTTACTTAGCCACACAAACTACACAGTTTAATGGATTTATTTTTGTTCAAAATACCATGAAATATCGAAACCGCAGAGTTTTCAAATTAATATTTTATTAGAATCCCAAAGAATTATGAGTGAGAGAAGAACATTTTGAGATTAGAGAACTAAAATATGCATGATCTATCTTGAAGAATACTTAATCAAGGTTTAAAAAAAAAGTTTTAATGGTAAAGCTCCGGGGAAATTATCAAGACCAAATAGGTACTCTGTTAAGTATAATTATAACAAAAAACCGATTTTTCTCTGTTAGTTTCACGTATGATGGAAAATTATAATAGTAACATTAGAAAAGTAATTGATCACCAATCATTGTACATTAGTATAACTCTTATAATTTCGAAAGTGGATCTATTATTAGATCACAAATGTTGTTATTTTTGTGCATATTAAAACTAAAATAATAATTGTTTTTTATGTAAATATTATGACTACGTTATTTGTACCACAGTGTTTACACAATCAAGTATTAACTCTTATCGCCTACGCCCCACGTTAACTAACCACCCACTCTTAATTACTAATGTCTTATTTAATTGCTCTAATAATTACTTAAAACAATAAAAACATGTTTACGTCTGAAGATGATTTACGAAAACTGAATCTGTTGTAGTTTGCACTTGGCTTTCGCGTTGATATTGATATTATATACGG